CCCCTCCCCCCCAGTCTTGCCGCAAAACAGCTGATCCGCATGGCAAGACTGCGAGGGAGGGGGGAGAAGCAGAGCAGTGGCGGGCTCGGGGGAGCAGGCGTCAGAGGGGTGGAGGAGAGCGGGGGGGGGAACGGTTCCTCTGCCCCCCCCAGGGTTACTTCCTGCGGCCCTCCCCGCGCCCCCCACCACCGCAGCTCACCTCCACTCTGCCTGTTCCCCTGAGCGCGCCGCCGCCGCTCCGCTTCTCCCCCTCCCTCCCAGGCTTGCCGCAAAACAGCTGATTCGCATGGCAAGACTGCGAGGGAGGGGGGAGAAGCGGAGTGGCAGCGCGCTCAGGGGAGCAGGCGGCAGTGGAGCGGAGGTGAGCTGTGGTGGGGGAGGGAGCGGTTCCTCTGCCCCCCCCTGAGTTAGTTCCTGCGGCCCTTCCCGCACACCCCACCACCACAGCTCACCTCCGCTCAGGGCCGGCTCCCGGCTTTTTGCGCCCCAAGGGGGGGGGGGGGGAAAAAGGAGCCGGAGTGCCGCCCCTTGTTAAGTGCCACCCCAAGCACATGCTTGGAGTGTTGGTGCCTAGAGCCGGCCCTGACTGTAGTAAATCCACCAGGTAGCTAAGTTGATAGAAGTATTCTTCCATAGACCTAGCTGTATCTACACTGGGGTATAGATCAGCTTAACTATGTCTCTCAGAAGTGTGAATTTGTCACACCCCAAGTGATGTATCTAGGTTGACCTATGTTTTAGGTGTAGATCAGGCTAGTGTCTGTGTTTCTGGAAAATTAGAAGGGCATTGTGAGATGAGGAGAAGCATGTGATACTGAAGGGAACCACAAAACAATAAACTTTTTAGACTAAAAAGGAGGAGCAGCTTGTTCTTCATAAAACAAAAATTTGGGATAGTTGCCTGTTTTGTTGTTTAAGCAGTGTTTTCAAGTCACATTTTGGATTAATGTTTAAATATATGTTTTAGCTGGGTGATAAATGTTTGGGGTAGAAGGAAGAGTGAGAGACAGGTATTGCAGGATCATTGGCATCTCTAGGCTTTTTTTTTTATGGGAAAGGAAGTAACTAAAGGGCAGATCATGAATGGTGCTAAACTTTCAGGGAAGAATCTGAAAGAGCCTATCTGGCTATTCTGCCATGTCCCCTCCAGTTTCACATAGCCTGAGTTCTGCTGGTGGCAGAGGAGAAAGGGAGCTTCTTGTGTTAGTGGCACTCCCCTTCCTGGGGATCTGTGAACATGGAGGGGAGCTTGAAGGCCCTGTGACAGGCTCCATATGTTTGTGATTCAGATTTGACATGGATCAGAACTTTGGGGGAAATGTGTAATCATTAAAATATGGTGTCTTGACCAGAGTCAGGAAATGCAGGTACTCCAATGAGTGGGAGGAAAGAGAGTATGAATGCTAATCTCATGTGGAACTAAAAGAGAATTTCCATATACTAAACAAGCAGTCTCAACCAGGGAGGAAAACCATTGCACAGAAGAGAGGTGGGAAATGTGTGTGCCAAATGATTAAGGGACCAGACAACTTTTTTGTGCTCTGAATATTCAGTCAGAATTATGTAAGAACAAACCATCTTTCCAAGCATATTGAATAGTACACCTCTACCCTAATATAACGCGACCCGATATTACACGAATTCAGATATAACGCAGTAAAGCGGTGCGCGGGGGGGGGGCTGCGCACTCCGGTGGATCAAAGCATGTTCGATATAGCGCAGTTTCACCTATAACGCAGTAAGATTTTTTGGCTCCTGAGGACAGCGTTATATCGAGGTAGAGGTTTATGTGGAACATGTAATGGTGAACATGTACCAGAACAGGTCAGAGGGGAATCCACATTCTGTGCTAGTTTTATTGTGGCAGGTATGGGTGTCCAGAATGACCGACTTCCTTTCTGATCTGATGATGAGCAAAGTCACATCTTTACCTTTATTCTCGGAGGTAAAACTAGTAGGCCAGCAAAGCTGATGGGAAAGAGCAGGAGGCCAAGTGGTCTCTGCCGCCCCGGACTAGCTAGCTGAGAGGCTGTGGTGCTAGAGAGAAAGAGATTGCAAGTGCACAAGTGCATGAAGAAGTGAGACGAAACCTGAACCATAGAAGATGAATGTGCTGTTTGCCTGACTCACTAATCTCTCTATATTTGCATAGTACCTCATCTACATGAGGTTTTACATTAGTGCAAGGCTAGGTATGATTTCATACAGGTCCCTAGCGTCTCCTTACCATAATATGGGGTGAATCACATCAGAGTGGATGACCAGTCTGACCTTTATAAATCTAGTAGTAATGCTAGAGGGGAAGGTGCTTGCCAGCTGCTCAGTCCATTCAGAGACAGAGGCTGTCCTAGCCAATGCCAGGGACAGAGGTCTTTGGGAAGAAGCCTTCCGGTGCCTGGAGAATTCCCTCAAACTCTAGGGCTAAATCGGGTTGCCACACACTAGAATGAATTACAAAACTCTGTTTGATTTTGAGATTTTTATGCAAATGAAGTAGGGGCAAGAGGTGAATAAATGACGCTATTTAGATTTTCCAATGTTTCTTTCTTCCTTTTCTTAAAGGCTTATTACACTCAGTATCTATGTGTACTTGTATGGACTGTTCATGCGTCTATAGGCAAGTTACACGACGTAAATAATTGTCTGTTTAATCCTTACATGTAATTGTTAAAATATATTACCACTATGCAGCAAAGGAAACAGTCAGTTTGCATCAGTAGGTTATGAGGATCTGAAAAGTTCAGTTTGTTTTCTATGTGTATGTGCCTGCAGAACTCCATCTAGTGTTGGGCTTTAGATTCTCTTTTAGGTGCATTTTCCAATCTATATTGTCTGCTGCCACCTAGTGATAGAAGAAAATAATTATGGGTCAGTTCCATTAACTCATTGGTTTTCAAACTGGGGCATTTCCCCTTGGGTGGGAAGGGAAGTGCCACGGTTATCAGGTGGATGCGAGGACCTGACTGTCTCACTAGCTGAGCTGCAGCTCCAGCTGCAGCTGCCAGGCTAGAAGAGCTGGGAGGAGTTTGGGGCATAGCATCTCCCTGTGCAGCAGCTTCAGGGGGTGGGGAGCACGTCAGCTCACTCTCCTCTCCAGAGGCTCGTGTGCATGTGCCCCCTTGTGAGCGTTCCTCCCTTCCTGCACAGGCTCTTGTGCATGCATGCTGGGGATCGTGTCAGGGCCAAAGGAGCCTGTGGCCTGTGAGTGATTCTGGGGAGTCTCAGGGGTGGCAGCACAAGGAAAGGGGTGCAGCCCAACTGTCTATCACCCACCCAGAGCACATCACGGAAAGGGGATGCTCGCAAGCTGGGGAGCAGCAGGGCACCCTGGCCAGGATGGACTCCTGGACCCCAGGTGTCCAAAGAAACAGAGTTTCTTAGAAAGATGGGGGGTATACATGGGACAAAGCGGAGTGCAGCAAAAAAAAGCTTGGGAACCTCTGCATTAAATGTTTGTAGGTACTAAAACAGCGTAATCAGAAATTGCAAAGCACCTCCTTAGATTTCCTTCTGCTAACAAAATTAAACACATGCACAAATGTTGGCATTGCTATCTGAAAGGCTGCAGAATAGGTTCTTGGAGAATGGTTCTCACACCCATCAATTATTGTATGTCAACATGTAAAATAAAAATAACATTCTTAAAACTGTTTCCAGTTTATCAATGAATTTTTTTTCAAATTTGACTGAGTACAGAGTGCTTTGGATCAGAAACACATGGAGTACTCCTCACTGAGACAAATAATAATGCTTATTGTATAGTATAAGGAGGATGGGAGAATCTTTTAAATCATAGATGGAAAAGACTTCTTAGCTCTAGGCTTGTCCCTTCCAAGGGAATATGATTCCCTAAGACACATTTTCTAGTATTTTGTCTGAGATCCTATAGGTTCCTTTTATAACTTTTTAGGTACAGTATAAAAAAATAAGATTAGTTGTGTATACCTATTTCTGTAATTAAATATTGAAATATTATGATTGCTGTATAACTCCCCCCCGCAATATAGCTGCAATCTTTGAACAATTATTTGTTTGTTTTTTTTCTGTTAAATAAGTATTTTCTAGCTACTATTTTGTATGTCCATAAATTGTGGATGTCCATTTTGCATATCAAAAGTTTTGCTATCTACTAGCAAACATAGATTTGATCTGAATATATATTCTCTCTGTAGCTGTTAATTTTAAGATGTTTAATTTCTGTTTCGTACTTCCAACACTTAGTTATCTAACTCCTATTATTTATTTTATTTTCAGATCGAACCTGCAGCTGCCTGTAAGTACCAGTCTATTACTTTATTATGATTTTGTTTAGTATCCAAATTTCACAATGTGGACACAGGAACAAGTGGATATAAACTGGCCATCGATGAGTTTAGGCTTGAAATTAGACAAAGGTTTCTAACTATCAGAGGACTGAAGTTCTGGAGCAATGGGGGCAAAACTGGCTTCAAGACTGAGCTTGAAAGGTTTGTGGAGAGGATGGTATGATGGGACTGCCTACAATAGCATGTAGCCAATCTGCAACTGCTCGCAGCAAATATCTCCAACGGCCAGTGATGGGACACTACAGTACAATTAACTCAAAGTTAAAAAATATCTGATGTAAAAGCAGGGGACAGTAAAGTGATATTTTGAAGAAAATCTAATCAGCAATAACAAAAGTGAATACACATACATAAAGTGAAATGCCAGCATTATGTGAAGTTGTTTAACCATTTTTCTGTAATTTTTCCTTATCCTATAGGCCTTAAAGATTGCAGCTCAATAAATGTAAATGCAACAACAACAGAAATCAATATAGACGCATTACCAGAAAACTTTACAATAAGCAATGTAACTTTTGCAAATGGAACACTGTTCCAGAATTCACCACAGAACAATTCAATAAGAGGTCTTTCCCCTGGTGTACAATACATTATCAACTTTCAAAATGATACAGAATCATGCTGCAAAAACATTACAACAAGTAAGTGACCTGAGGTGATTGTAGGAGGGAGTATCTTCATTTTATAGCTGTCTTACCATTTTAAGTCATTTCTACACCAAAGAAAGCAAATGGCATAGCAGAGCGTGGCTCCAGGTTGATTCCTGGCAGAGCAGTGAACCGCACTATGTCAAAGACCTATACCTGCTTAGTAGGCTTTGGAAACTGTTTGTGAACATGGGGCCTTACAATATTTCATGAATGCAGGTGCTGTCACCTAGTTGAAGACTCTTTACCTATGAAGGGTTACTTTCCTTTGCTTTCCTTTTCGTGGTTTCAGCTGGCAGCATGGACAAATGTATAGAGTTGGGCTAGTGTTGTGAGTGTTTGGACGGTGACTTTTATATATGAAATACTTTGTGACAAATCACTCCTGCAACTACTTATATACTATAATATATATGGTACTGTACCACATATCCAGATGGCAATGGCTAATGGCCTTGTGTTCTACGGCCCTCTTCTTACATTGTGGTACAGTCAGCAAGACCCCTTTTCCGACCGTTGCAAGTATCTTTTAGAAAGAACAGCAAGTTGGTGATAACAGCCTTCAACACCCTGAACGGTGTACAGGGCCGGCTCCAGGCACCAGCCGAGCAAGCTGGTGCTTGGGGCGGCAGCTTGTAGGAGGCAGCATTCTGCCCAATCCTAGGGCGGCACGGCCGCTTTTTGTTGTTGTTGTTGTTGTTGTTGTTCCACTCCGGCCGCCCTGTAGGGGGCAGCGGCGTGGAGGACGGGAGCGCCCTGCAGCAAGCCTGGCAGGGCAGCCCCCGTCCTTCCCTCCCAGCCGACCGGAGTGGTGGTAGAGCCCTCCCGTCAGGGGGCACGGTGGGAGGGGCCGCATGGCAGCGCCCCACTGAAGCCCTGGCCGCCCCCCTTCTCTCTCTCCCCCCGCTCCCTCCCCCTCCCCCCGCTAGCCGGGGCACATCTGCAGGGCAGGGAGTTCCCCTGCACCCTGGCTCTGGCCGCGCCGCAGGTTTTTTTTTGTTTTTTGTTTTTTGCTTGGGGCGGCCAGAAAGCCAGAGCCAGCCCTGATGGTGTAGGCAGGAGAAATGAGGCAGCCCAACATCTGAGTGTTGTGGAGGTCAGTGCTGCTGCTCCTCAGTCCTGGCTGACCAAACCCTAAGATGGAAAAGGGACTGAGGGGGCCAAAGGGTGAAGGGGAAGCAGTGATCAACAACTAGGAAATGCCCAGTTGTGGATGAGGAAAGTTGCTGTTAAGGCCTCCAGAGTCCTGACTGCCTCCTGCCTTAAGTAGAATACATAAAATAAATATTTACATGCACATGAATGAAAACCTAGCCCAGCATATTCAACCTGAATACATCAGTAAGTCCTTAATGAGTTCTAAGGGTGCTGCCCCCTATCAGTGAATGTTAGCCTCCAGCTACATTATTGTGTCTTGCTGCTCTTTTCTATTTCTCATGGTGTTACTCAAGACTTCCCATCCCCATCCTCCTATTCAGAACTGCCCTTTCCTTCTTAATGCTTATAATAGGCTGTCCCCTGCTAAACGTACGCCAGGCCTGGATTAGCTGATTGACGCTAAAAGGAGGGGTTGTGGAAAGCACTGTGAAAATTCTGTTGGAGGCTATGAATTAATGGAGTCTTGCAGTTAGCATCAGATGTGTTTAAAGCAAAAAAATCCCCTTTGATAAGTTTCATTCTAATAAATCTGGCTGATCTATGGCTGTGAAACTCAGTGCAACACTGAGAGACTCTAGCGTCATATTTTGGAATGATGATCTTTTTTTGTATCTTCTAATTGTAATCTTTGCGACCCCTTGACTGTTTGAATAACTGCCCATATTATTATGTAATCTAGCTCCAGAATATAACATTTATAAGGCACTTTTCTAGATTATTCCATACTCCTTATCGGAAAAGTTACTCTAAGATTTATGAAAATAACACATGTAGGGCAATATAGATGCACTTTGTATATAGGAAGGCTACATATCTTGTAAGGTCATGGCAGATACCGAGAAACAGGGTATCTCACCATCACAATGAAATCTTAATAAAATGGCATGGTCAGAAGTGCACACAAGTTTTGGGGTTGCCATACTTAAACTGGTAATGCCTTAATGATTTCCTCTCCAAGATAAAGAGCTAAATTCACTGGTACACTCCAGCTGTTTTGTACTGCTTTGCTGAAGCAAAACCAAGTTTCAGATTGGAATAACCAGAGTGGTTCACTCAGCCAAAATGTACCAATTAATCTAGCCCGGAACAGCTAGAAGAATGCCAGTTATTATAAAAGAAGGGACTTCTTAATGTTAAGGCTCTGAGATTGAGAATGGGAAATGCTGAGAGGTCAAGCATATGATAAATCATGACAAGTCCTAGAATGACATTAAGAACTTCCAGAACAAAGTCACTAGCAAGACATTACATGAAAGTGTATTGAGGTACGTTCACAAGCAGAACAGTTTGTCTTGCCATGTACATAATGACAAAAATGCCATTTCATGCTGTGCCCCATAAAATTAATGTTAGTATTTACTAGTCATGAAGCAAAATAAAACATGATTGTAAGCAACAAATGTTTGGATCAAATTTAAATAAATGGAGATATCGTATCTCCTAGAAGTGGAACAACCTTGAAAGGTCATTGAGTCCAGCCCCCTGCCTTCACTAGCAGGATCAAGTACTGATTTTGCCCCAGATCCCTAAGTGGCCCCCTCAAGGATTGAACTCATAACCCTGGGTTTAGTAGGCCAATGCTCAAACCACTGAGCTATCCGTCCCCCCTGTGAATGATATAAAATACTGTAGTTGAGCTTACAAAAAAATCGATAGGGTAAAAATACATTTAATATTGGAGCACTAATTGTTTTGTTTTCCTTTCAGCAAATGTTCTTGCTGTACTATTAATGCATGTATTTTTTACCAAATAGAACCCAGTGCAGTTTTCAACCTCAAAGTTATAAATGTCAGCACAACAGAAGTAACCTTGACATGGGAAAACAGTGATGCTGAGGCTTCTGAGTACACTTATAGGGTACTCTATGAAGTTCATGGAACTTCATCTCCAGAAAACATCACTTCTCCAAACAAGTCTGCTACCATTACAGGATTAAAACCTGGTACCTTGTATGCAATTACAGTCTTCGCACAAGTTGCAGGGACTGACGGAAACGCCAGCACCATAGAGATCTATACAAGTAAGTCATTGAAACCTCTTTCAAGAAAACATTCTGAAATTATAATCTGTGGTTTCAACATCTGTCACCTCATCACTTTGTCTGGTTCATGAAATTTCTATACATCTTTGACAGAAAACCCTACATTTTAATTAATCAACTTGTGAGGTAAGGGATTTCTGCCAACACAATACTGCTGCACTTAGTAGTGCTGGATTGATTAGTAGCTTGAAGGACATAATGTAGGAATCAACTTGCAGTTGAGATTCATTAAGACTGAAAAGTATGAGATGTATTTTAGGGGAAGAACAATAAATACTAACAAATTATTCCTTTGCTTGTATAGTGGGGAAAAATCAAAGTTTTCCCAGAGTTGTACATTTTATTTGTTTTATGACTTAAGCTTTATTAAATGTATGTACGCGTGACCGGTAATCAAGCCAGCCATGTTGCAAAGGAAAAGACAAAGCAAATGAAATGTCTGTAAGATAGTTACAATGGATTAAGTAAATGCTTATGAATTGTTACAGATATATTCATAAACATAGGTTGGTATCATATCATGTTTCACAAAACACATTTCCTTGCTTTGATGATAGGCCAGGATTAATTAGGTCTCATTAAGACTTAGTAATGTTTGGAAGATTATTTTCATGTCATTATGAGACCAATTCTGCATCCTTACACAAAAATTTGCTTCAGTAGGGGAAATGATCAGGGCTCTGAGTGATTATGCAGAGAGCAGTAAGAACAGAAAAATTAAAGAGGGGGAAAAACACCTTCAAAAATACCCCAGGAAAAATAAATGTGAAAAAGAAAATGGGTTAGATGATCAGCTGTTGTAAATCAGTGCAGATCCACTGAAGCCAGTGTTCATCCAGCTGAGGATTTGTAGCTGTTAGGAGTCTGGCCCACTGAATTAATAATAAAAGCGAGCACTGTAATAAATAGAAGAGATAAGGTGTGTCCACACTGCAAAGAAAAAAACACAGCACCAAGTCTCTGAGCCCAAGACCCTGTCTCCTTGCCAGGTGACAGACCACAGGCCCTCTTGATCAGGTAACTTCCAGAGGAATTTTAATGAGATGATCTATATGGGAAATCACTTAACATTTCTGAACTCCTAAAGTCCAGACTAGACAGACTTCAACAGACTAGACTCCTTACTGAGAAGTAGACTAAGGGCTTGTCTAGAGAGTGCTTTAGTCTGCACCAGAGGGATGTATATTGTAGTCCACGCTAGTGTGTTACACACTAACTGGCCTTTGTGGACCCTGCTGTCATGCGCTCAAAGTTCCCTAATGTGAGCTGATGTAGTACTCTGTGAAACTGGACTATGTTAACATGCACTAGGGAACTTTGAGTGAGTGCCACAGGGTCCACATGGGCCAGTGACTGTGTGGCATACTAATGTGGACTAAAATTTACATCCTTCTAGTGTGGACTAAAGCACCATGTAGACAAGCCCTGAGACACAGTAGATGCAACTCATCACTGGCATGAATAGGAAATGGGCTATTTTCTTAAATTGTTGTAAGGTAAATTCTGGTGTTGTTTTTTTTTTGGTTAATTTATCAGTAATTTTAAAAGTATTCAGAGTAACTTAAATTCAAGTAATAAAATCCAGTAGACAATAGTTAATCTAAAATATGAGCTTCACTGGCAGTGGTATCCCAGGTGAGCAAAGCTTTGGTTTTGTCCATGGCACCTAAGGGTAAAGAAACAAACAAACCTGACTTCTGGCATGCTATGCCCTGTTTAATCAAATTCTGGTATGACCCTCTTGGCCTTTTGAAAATCTTAGCAGTTAAAAACTGTCTTAGGGATATAGAGAAATGCTTCAGTTATAAATGGATGACTTCTGTAGAGCCCTACATACCTACATTTGTATGAATTGCAATATAGAAGAAAATGAAGAATGTTTTTTTTTTTTAAAAAGCAGCTAAGCAAATCTATTAATTCCTCAGCATATTAAGACAGGAATTAAGCACAACTCAGGGATATGCTGTTAGGTTTCCTGAGATGTGCGGTACAATTAGAGGAGAGATGTGCAGGAAAGGTAGCCCTCAATCACCTTTCTGTTTTCTTGAACCTGAAGCTGCAGAAAACTGAAATGGGACCCAGTGTAACTTACATCAGACCCACCTTCCCACTCCTGGCATTTCCCTTACATGGTAGCAGTAATAGGAGATGGAAGGCTGGAACAGACCAAAGGGCTGAGGATCTGGCCCTTTTATTTTAGTATGGTCCAGTGATCTCGTGCTTTAATTTTAAGTGAATGTTTGCTCCTGAAAGTTGCAGAATTGTCATCCCTGTAGACTGAAGTTCTCTGTCTATGCTATAGCCAGGGGAAGTGCAAAATTCCCCCTTGTCAGCAAGCTTTACCTTTGCACTCTGCCTTCTAAGGGGAAAGGAGCCAGTTCATTTTCCATGACTGTTCACTTGTTGGTCTCTCTGAGATTACCACTGACAAGGATGCCAGTTGTGATAGTGGCTTATATGGAATAGAATTGATCTGTTGAATTGACGATGGCTAGCAACTCTCTTCACTCAGGTCACCAAACAGCTATCAGGTTAGAGTGATTTACAATGATTATCAGCCTGTGCTGAAATCAAACTGGTGATGTAAAGGCGACAGACACTGCCTTACATTACCATACCTATACAGTCCCCTCCCAGAGTTGAATCTCATTACACAAAATCTTAATGTTTTCTGCTATTGTTTTTTTTCTTTATGCAATTAGTCTTTCTGTGCTAAAGATAAACTACCTCTTTCTGTTTTTTAAGCAGAGCCTAGTCCAGTTTTTAATATCCGGGTTACAAGCATCCTTGCATGTGAAGTAAACTTAACATGGCAAAATGATGATACTCCTGCTTCTGAGTACAATTACAGGATACATATTGAAAATGAAACGTCACCGGTTGGGAATCAGACCTGGAAAACCATGTGTGCTGTAGTTATAGATGTAGAACCTGGAACCTCTTACAAGTTCACAATATTTCCACTAGCAGCAGATAATAAAACTGAAGGAGACCCAAATACCAACAAACATCTATATAAGTCACTGAGTCACACACAGTTCTTTCAGCTAAATATCTATCCTGTACTTCTGAGATCTATTTGTTCACCTGGGCTTCTTCATTCAATATACACCTCTACCCTGATATAATGCTGTCCTCAGGAGCCAAAAAATCTTACCGCATTATAGGTGAAATCGCATTATAGCGAACTTGCTTTGATCCACTGGGGTACGCATCCCCGCCCCCCCCGAGCTCTGCTTTACTGTGTTTATATCCGAATTTGTGTTATATCGGGTCATGTTATATCTGGGTAGAGGTGTACTTTCATGTACATATGGCATTTGAGTTCAGGAATTTAAAACTATTCAGTCTGGAACACTCTTGAGGAGAAGAAAAAATCTAAAATCTAGGTGTGTTCATAATTAGAGAAGTCGGTCTCTAAATTAGCTATTTTTAAGACAGCAGTGCATGGGGCTTCTGAGAGTAATGGCTCTGGGAGCCTCTGTTTTTGCATGTTCAGTTTAACACCTCAGTTGTGTCTACTTTTCTGAAAGTTGGTGCTTTTTAAAACTAAGCCCTTTTAAGGTGTCTCAAGTGGGGCACTCAAAATTAAGGCATCCATATTACTAGACACTTTTGAAAATGTAGACCACGGTATCTAGATGTGTGCTATTTGGTAAAGCTTGCCAAGTTAGAATATTTAGGACAATAGTGTGCAAGCTTGCAGAGAGGAGAGGATTCAGGAGTAAATAATTTATTTTTTAAAAACAAGATTAAGCTGAAATATTTCAATATGTTTGTAGGGGAGGAGTCGAGAGTAGCATGCATGCATGCACACACAGTGCACTCAAGCACATTGTCCCAGCATGCACTTACACTAAAATATGTCAAGGCTGGGGTTCAGAAGTGCTCTTAAGCTGTAGCTGCTGGGCTTTGTGATGAGGCTTTCAAAAAACAAAAGGTAGGGATTTGCAGGGAGGCAGATTATTATTTATTATTTGTATTCCTGTAGTGTCTAGGAGCCCTAATCCTAGACCAGGACCCCATTATGCTATGAACTGAAGGGTCAAACAGAGTCTGAAATTTGGTGTTTTGTTTACTCTATTAATCGTGACCATTGCCTTTTGTGTATTGTTTTGCTTGTACTATACAATAAATAACTAGTTTCAGACACCCCTGGGTATCTTGGATTTTGTTGTCATCAATGAACAAACTTAGTCATTTTAACCAATCGTGTATTTCCAGAACTAGGGTCTGCCATATTTGTGACAAAAGCAAATTGATGATACTTGAGCAAAATATTGTCCCTTTGAATTACGCTCTTGAGAGTAAAAGTGCTTGAAAGTGCATGATCACATCTCCTGTAACTTTGAAGGAGAGAAGAAGGAATCTCCTTATTCTCAAAACTGGTTTAAACAAGATAAAATCACCAGGGATAAACACAACTGGAATGTCTGACCTCAGGGAAACAACTTAATGGAAAAATGGATCAGAAGGGGTAGCCCCATGAATAAGCTCTGGCGGTATGTCCAAAATGCAATCTGAGGTGTGATTGCAGCTTGGGAAGAGATACCCACACTAGCATGGCTAAAGATAGAGGTGTAGATATGGAGGCAGTTGCATCAGTGTGTGTTATAAAAGTATGCCAGGAATCCTGGCTATGTACACATGTTGCTAACCTGTGCTGAAGCCCATGTTCCTGCATGTACAGTGTTATTTTTAGCTGTGCTAGTGCAGGAATGTCTACCCATGCTGCAATTACACTGCCAATTGAACTGTGGACATATACCCTAAAATGAAGAAGACTAGATGATGGAGATAGTGATAAAAGAAAAAAATGAGTATGTCCTAGAATAACACTGATTTAAATACAATCCACCCAACCAAGTTTCTTGGTTAGCAATATTACATGAAGGCTTATTTTTAGCTACTTGGGATATAGTAACTCTGGTCTTGCAGTGGTTACAATGATGATAAGAGAAGTTTATATATTACTGAAAATCCTGATTAACCTATGATAGTGTGGAATACATATGATATATTCATTATGGTCAGTTGTCCAGTTCTTACTGCAGCTATAGAAATTCCCATGGCATTGGATTCCTCCAGGATGGAGACATCTATAAGACTGTGCCTTGGTGTATGTGGTGAAGCCACACTTTGCTCTCAAAGATAATTGCTGATGGTTCCAAGATTACTTCAGCTAGTTACTTAAATACCCTAGTGTGAATTTTGTCAGGCTCTGCCAATTTGAATATATCTCATTATTTAAATATTCTTTAACTTGTTCTTTCCCTAACCTAGCTTGTGTTCCTTCCCCTAATTGTTTTAAGCATCTTGTCACAATTTACCATTTTAGTGAAGACTGAAGCAAAGTTAGGCATTAACTTCTCAGCCTTCTTAATGTCATCTGTTGTTATCTCTACTTCCCTGCTAAGTAGTTGACCGACACTTTCCTTTGCCTTTCTCTTGCTTTAATTTATTTATAGAACCTCTTCTTATAGCCTATTTTGTCTCTTTCTAGGTGTAATTCATCAAATGCCTTAGCCTTTCGGATTTGTCCCTACAGGCTTGTGCTATTCTTTTGTACTCATCCTCAGCAAGTTGGTCATGTTTCCACTTTTTGTAGGATTCCTTTTTTGGTTTTCAGCTCATTAAAGGGCTCATGATGGAGCCATGTCAGTTTCTCACTATTCTTTGTATCTTTCCTTCACATCAGGATGCTTTGCTGTTGTACCTTTAATTTGTCTCTTTGAGAAACTGCCAGCTCTTCTGAACTCCTTTCCCCCTTAGATTTTCTTCCCAGGGGACCTTACCTACCAGTTCTCTGCGTTAGTAAAAGTTTGCTTTTTTTGAAGTCCATTGTCCTTTTTCTGCAGTTCTCATTCCTTTGTTTCCTTAGAATAATCAAATCTATCATTTGATGATCACTTTCACCCTTCTACCTTGAGATTCCCAATCCATTCCTGATTGTTATTCAGTTTCAAGTCTGAAATGGTTGCCCAGCAGTTACTTTCTTCAGCTTCTGAAGTGAGAAATTGTCCCCAGTACATTCCAAGAACTTTATAGGAGATTTTGTGTTTTACCGTGTTACTTTCCCAACAGATGTTTGAGTAGTTAAATTCCTCCATTATTTCTGTTTTGGATATTTCTGTTGTTTTTTCTCTAAATGCCTCGTCTACCTCCTCATCCTGATTTAGTGGTCTGTAGTAGACAACCCCCCCCCAGCAGGGGTGGCTCCAGGCACCAGCCGGTCGCTGTGAGGGCGGCTGTGGGAGGTCTGCCGGTCGCGTGGTTGCGGCGGCAATTCGGCAGCAGGTACGTCGAAGCTGCGGAACCAGCAGATCACCCGCAGAAACGACGCCGAATCTGCGTGACCGCGGACCGCCCGCAGGCATGCCGCTGAAGGCCTCCTGACTGCCATGCTTGGGGTGGCAAAAAACATAGAGCCACCCTTGCCCCCAGTATGACATTGCTTCATGGTTTTTTTCCTCTTTTATCTTCACCCAGAGATTTTTTTACTGGTCTGCCTGTCACCTCCTTGTGGACCTCAGTACAAGTGTAAATATTCTTGATGTATAATGTATAACTAGCTAGAGACATAAAAAGAAACAAGAAAACATTCTACAAATACATTAGAAGCAAGAGGAAGACCAATGACAGAGTAGGCCTGTTACTCAATGAGGGGGGAAAGATAATAACAGAAAATGTGGAAATGGCAGAGGTGCTTAATGACTTCTTTGATTTGGTTTTCACCAAGAAGGTTAATGGTGATTGGATGTCTAATATAGTGAATGCCAGTGAAAATGAGGTAGGATCAGAGCCTAAAATAGGGAAAGAACAAGTCAAAAATTACTTTGACAAGTTAGATGTCTTCAAATCACCAGGGCCTGATTAAATGCATCCTAGAATACTCCAAGAGCTGACTGAGGAGATATCTGAACCATTAGCAATTATCTTTGAAAAGTCATGGAAGATGGGAGACATTCCAGAAGACTGGAAAAGGGCAAATATAGTTCCCATCTATAAAAAGGGAAATAAGAACAACCTGGGGAATTACAGACCAGTCAGCTTAACTTCTGTACCCAGAAAGATAATGGAGCAAATAATTAAGCAATCAATTTGCAAACACCTAGAAGATAATAAGGTGATAACAGTCAGCATGGATTTGTCAAGAACAAATCATGTCAAACGAATCTGATAGCTTTTTTTGATGGGGTAACAAGCCTTGTGGATAGAGGGGAAGCGGTAAATGTATATCTTGTCTTTAGTACGGTTTTTGATACTGTCTTGCATGACCTTCTCAAACAATGTAGGAAAATACAACCTAGATGGAGCTACTATAAGGTGGGTGCATAACTGTTTGGAAAATCATTCCCAGAGAGTAGTTATCAGTGGTTCACAGTCATGCTGGAAGGGCATAATGAGTGGGGGTCCTGCAGGGATCAGTTCTGGGTCCGGTTCTGTTCAATATCTTCATCAGTGATTTAGATAATGGCATAGAGAGTACACTTAGAAAGTTTGCAGATGATACCAAGCTGGGAGGGCTTGCAAGTGCTTTGGAGGACAGGATTAAAATTCAAAATGATCTGGACAAACTGGAGAAATGGTTTGAAGTAAATAGGATGAAATTCAATAAGGACACATGCAAAATACTCCACTTAGGAAGGAACAATCAGTTGCACACATACAAAATGGGAAATGACTGCCTAGGAAGGAGTACTCCAGAAAGGGATCTGGGGGTCATAGTGGATCACAAGCTAAATATGAGTCAACCGTGTAATGCTGTTGCAAAAAAACCCCACAAACATAATTCTGGGATTTATTAGCAGGAATACTGTAAGCAAGACATGAGAAGTAATTCTTCCGCTCTACTCCGCGCTGATTAGGCCTCAACTGGAGTATTGTGTCCAGTTCTGGGTGCCACATTTCAGGAAAGATGTGGACAAATTGGAGAAAGTCCAGAGAAGAGCAACAAAAATGATTAAAGGTCTAGAAAACATGACCTATGAGGGAAGATTGAAAAAATTGGGTTTGTTTAGTCTGGAGAAGAGAAGACTGAGAAGGGACATGATAGTTTTTAAGTACATAAAAGGTTGTTACAAGGAGGAGGGAGAAAAATTGTTCCTCTTAACCTCTCAGGATAGGACAAGAAGCAATGGGCCTAAGTTGCAGCAAGGGCGGTTTAGGTTGGACATTAGGAAAAACTTCCTAACTGTGAGAGTGGTTAAGCACTAGAATAAATTACCCAGGGAGGTTGTGGAATCTCCATCATTAGAGATTTTTAAGAGCAGATTGGACAAACACCTGTCAGGGATGGTCTAGATAATACTTAGTCTTGCCTTGAGTGCGGGGGACTGGACTAGATGACCTCTCGAGGTCCCTTCCAGTTCTATGATTCTATTATGCAACACCACCTCCTTTTTTTGTTACAATTTTTTTAAAAGCTAGTCTAGCAGGTGCTCCACAGTGGAGTAACCTGCACTGATATATAGGGATTCACAGCAGGTTAAACAACAGAAACTCATTATGGCAATAGTATAAATTGACATGTCTTTGGAACATGAAAATGAAATGAACAAAAAATGGGACCACTAGCCATTGTAATTTTATCCCAAATAGTGTGACCAAATGCCAATTTTATATGTGTAAATGTCAAAACAGTAACTGGAAATTTACAAACCTATTTGCTTATTTCTCCATGTTGTTGTTGTTTTTTTTCATGAAGATTGCACCCCATCCCCTCTTTCTCCCCCCCCCCCCCGCAGTAAATCAATTAATAACGTTTAATAATTTTGCTGGGGTGAGGCCCTACAAATTTTCCTAAATACTACTCTCTCTATAAAAATGTCTGTGTTCCGTTTTTCCCCAAACAGAGCCCAGTCCAGTTTTTGACATCGAGGCCACAAATATCAGCACAGAACAAGTGATCTTAATATGGAAAAACAATGACACTGCTGCTCCTAATTACACATATGTGATATACATTGATGGGAATGGAACTTCTCCTACTCAGAACCAAACCGCCCAAAACGAAAGTGCTGTAATTGTGGGATTACAGCCTGGTACTCCTTATAACTTCACAATAGTTCCACTAGCAGCGGATAATACGACCACAGGAGACTCAAGAGTCCTACGCATCTATACAAGTAAATAATAGAAATCCATAGTATATGTTACTTACAATTGAATGCAGGCACTCTTTCTTTCCTCTCTTACCACTCCCTCCCCGCAATATACATATATTTGTTTATGTAATAAAAATACTCCATATTGTCCTCTTGCCCCCTCTTAATGTGCTCCAGCCTTTACATTTCTGTTAGAATGAAGTTTGGCTGTGAAAGCATGTGAGATCATCAAATCACTGATTGGAAATTGCTCATAGTTTTCATTCTGAATCTTTCAGACATGGAACCAAAGTCCTATTCACTATGGGCCCATTACTTGAGTCTGGCCAAGCTGTGTTCAGCACAGACCTAAAGAGCAGTGGTGCTAGGAGTATATCTATACCTTGAACTGGGGTGTGTGATTCCCAGCTCAAGGAGATGTGTGTGCACACTAAAAACAGAGTGTAGCCTAGGTTCTGAGAGTGGTGGGATGGATTTAGACACCTAAGTTGCAGATAGGTGCCTAATGGGATTTTAAAATGCACCTTATCTGCAACTGTAGGTGTCTAAATACCTTTGAACATCTGTCCCTAAACCCCTCTGGCAGTAATCATCCCTACCAAGCACTTTACCAGCTGGGGATTACTTGAGTGCAAGACCTCTGTCATACCCCTACACTTGAAAAGGGTAAAGGGGTAGGTGGGGCATTAAATGGGTAGCACAGAGACACCCATGCCAGTTCAATCCCCCCAGGAGTAAGCCTGGGAGATCAAAAATGGCCCATTAAGAGCGCTTTCCAGGTGATGTGCACTGCGTGAGCACTGCAAAACTGGTAGAAGAGGAGCTGAAGATCTGTCCCAGTCTCTCTCTCTCACACACACACACATTTACATTCTGAATTTTCTTATGAATATTTCACATGTTTTATCTAGGCGGGTCTTACTGATGAGGTGTTAATGGTTTCCACACGCACAATATGCGGGCCCCCAAAAGTATATTTTTGTGTAGATTGTCAAAAAAATATGTTTGTTTTTTTTTTGTTCAATCAGTAGAAAGAATTAACCCCCCCCCCGCCAATATATCTATTAATAATGTTTAATAATTTTGCTGGGGTGAGGCCCTACAAGTTTTCCTAAATACTACTCTCTCTATAAAAATGTCTGTGTTCCGTTTTTCCCCAAACAGAGCCCAGTCCAGTTTTTGACATCGAGGCCACAAATATCAGCACAGAACAAGTGATCTTAATATGGAAAAACAATGACACTG